TTTTGGATTGCCAACCGCTGCACTCGATGAATAAATGGCTATACAGTACACCTTCCATCCACCGCCGTCTCAACTTATTACGGTCGTGGGTGACCCAGGGGCCACTTTGGATGAGAGGCGGTACATTCACTTTGTTATCGGATTGTTCCGATTGTCTTTAATGTAGCCCGACTGTGTGCCAGGGAGGAGTTAGATGTACGAAAACAGTTTATCTAATTGTGAAGGCAAAAGCCAACGCCGCGTAATGTTTATTCAATGCTACTGGGATGTGTGCCCATATTAATGGATCTAGTGGAGCGTATGCTTGTCGCTTTAACGACTTGGTGATGCTCCAGCACAAACCTGCACTACTTTACGCCCCTGCGGAAAGGAAGAGGTAGGGGGGGAGGGGTGATGCCAAGCCTACACAAGGTACGCACACGCACTTACACACCCACAAGTAAATCCGACAAGCTGCTGAATATTTGCCAGCAACGCGTGAGCCATTGTTAAATGTTAAAACGGTTGAACAGAATGCTTGTAAGTATGCCCCGGTTGTATCTTATTTTCTGAGACATGCTTTTTTAGGAAGGAGGGGGGAGATTTCTTTTGTCCACACTGGAAAACAATAATGATTGAATCAAATTGAATATAATGTATATGTTTTCAAACACTGTACCGGAATGTGTCACGCTTTGAATGTTGATTCATTCAAACCTGACCCATTGGGGTTTTTTTTTTTTTTTTTTACCTCCATATCATGTTGTACGTATATGCACGATGCATCTATCCATCCATTCATTTTCTATAACCGTTAACCTGTTCAGGGTTGCGGGAAGCCGTATCCCAGCTGACATCGGACAGACGAAAGCACCGACTGGTCGCCAGTCAATCAATCACAGGGCACATAGAGTGACAGACAATTCAACTCACATTTAAACTGTTATTGAGTGGGAACTGAGCCCACACGGCATGCGCAGGAGTCAGGCGACGATAGCTCGATTTCATTTACGTTCTGAAATCTTTATAATAAATTCTAATTATTTTTGGTAGTCTGTTTGATTTATAATACTGTGATTGGAAGAGAAAAAGACGACTTGAAAAGCACATCACACATGAGCGATATGCTGGAGTGGTTGGTGACCCAGTTTTGTTTAATTATGAAAACACAACTGGTTGAAAATTGACAGTCTGGTAGTTCAACTTAATCTGAGTTATTTATGTTCAATGTCAACTAGGTTCCGTCTAATATAAAGACCGAAACAGTTTGCGTGTATATTCTTAGCCTAATAGTGAGTCATATTTGCATGCTTTTGAAAAAAAAACTGTTTTTAGCGAGCACATTACAATTTTTTGGAGGGATGTCTAGACAAAAGTAATTTTCAGATGTCATCGTGAAAATAAAATGAGACTTTTGGTGTCCCATCTCACTTGGTTTCCCTTGAGAAGTTTTAAATTCCTTACGGCTCATTTAGCCTTCACTCATTAATTAAGACAATTGATTGGTTGGAATAATGAGCTGGCTGGATAAGCACACCCTAATGAGACGCTAATTGAAAAGTATCAGCGGCTGCAACGACCCTGAAGCAGATAAAGGCAGGACATTGTCGCAGTCGCAATACGGCTTCAGACCAAATGTTTTGCTTTCCTTTTATTCCATTGATCTTTCCTTCTTCTTTACTTTCGATTCACTGCGTGGGGAAAACAGTAAGATAAATAATCATCCCGATGGGCTTGGAAAGCACAATATCATCTGTCAGGACATTCTCTGAGTGTAAATGCGAGTGCATTTGTGCATGTATTTGTTTCCCCACTTTAATTATTATCATGATCTTCAATTATACCTCAGAACCTCTAAAGTCATGTATCTTTAACCCTTTCAGGGACAGCGGTCACTCCAGTGGACAGCTTATCATGTTATCAGGTTACAGGGTGGACGAAAGGGATGAGGCCATACTATTTTCACAAAATGTTGACAAAATCTGCCTCTAAAACCAGAGTTTGACTTGCTATTATATGTGATGTAAGTAAGAGTAAATATTAAGTACTGTAAGTAACGGTATCATATCACCTCAGTTTAGCAAGCATCAAAAGCAGTTTCCCCGGCTTTTGGGGCTTTTTTTCTGCAACACTTATGAAATAAGAAGGAGCAGCCTGAACAAGCAGAAAAAGGATGTGAGTAGAGAAGGAGGTGGTCGTGACACACGGGTAGAAGAGAGAGTATCAACTTTTCTTGCATGCTATACTATATAAACTTAACCCTTTCATGCACCCTGTAACCTGATAACATGATAAGCTGTCCTCTGAAGTAACCGCTGTCCCTGAAAGGGTTAAACACAAGACGGATCATGTGATCAGTTCATATAGTGTTGCCACGAAAGGTAGAAATGTAAACTTGTTTCACTCGAGGTATTTTGAGCCAATTGGTTCTGTCAGAAATGTTTGTGGAAATGGTTATAGCTCTTCACATGAATCCGTACCAAAGTAGCGCCCAGTTTCAAAACGTTAGGTGACCGCTGATCTATCCTTTCCCCTCCTACAATAATTTTCAACTGTCATCTTATCCCTTTAGACTAAAAATTCAATTACCTGTATTTATGCACTAAATAGTAAAATGAATCCATTTGCCAACTACTTCGATTTGGAATGAAAGACGGAGAGCTACAATATGGAGCAAAACTTTGCATACTGTTTTCAATATACCCAAGAATCTACCCTATACCGACTATTTTTTTTTTTTTTACTCCACCAACAGGACAAAACTAAAACAAATGCATCCTCACACATCCATTTCCCGCACTGTGCCGAAATAGCTCCAGCAACAAGGACATTATTCACTTTGAAAGCCGGGTTCCTTTATGTTATGGATGCAGCGGCGCCCCTTGAGATATTACTCACATCACTGCCAATGATGAATACAGTAGATATTTTTAACCTAAACAGAAACAACGTCCTTTAAAAGCACACGGTGTGATTGGAACGGAAATCTACAGTAAAAATGTGGAAAAACTGAAAAAACAATCGACGTTTGGATCCGAAACAAATTTGTAGGGCCAAGCTGCAATCCTTCGGCAAGGTCATCAAGATCTGAAATGTACTGTCCGCTTTACCCCTCTTCAGCTTTAATCGGTCAAAAAGGTAACATTGCCATTTTCTGTCTACTCTGGAACTATAACTTTTATTCTGACCAGAGTGGAGTGAAGCCGTCAAACTCCCATATCCACACATAAGCAATTTTTCAAGCCAATTCTGGCTAAGATCAATGACAAGCAGTTGTTGGGCATCTGCACTGTGCCATATTATCCCACCTTGGGACGGATTTTGATTTCATTTGTTTTTGCTTGTCTATAAGAAAAGGGGATTGTTCGGATAATGTTCGCATCTGAATTATGACTTATTCAATATGCAAAGGAACACTTTATTTTCTGTGGGTGCAAAAGATGTGCAAAGGAGGAGCTTAGAACCAGAGGGCAGGATGCTCAGGCAGAGCTCTACTGACAGAGAATACTAACTTCCATCTTGTGTCAGCACTCTGCACCTCCTGAAGAAGAGGAGGGCGGCTGTGGCGGCTTGGACAGAACAAAAACAATGCTGTCCGTCACTGAAGAACAACACTGCCTCAGCAGACATTTCACACATAGAAAATTGTTACATCACTAAAATGCAACGAAATTCATGCATATTCTGACATCTAGACATAACTTCTGGAGAATGCAAATGACCTTCCAATCCAGAAAGCAGAACGCCTTACATTACCAAAATAATGATGATAATCAAGAGAGGTGAACAAGAATGAACATTACAAATTTGATCAGCAACAAACGCGACATGATATTTCATTTGCCCGACACAGAGGCTCAAAGGTTTAAGGTTCGAGATGCACTCTGGACCTCAAACACAAGAAGAAACACCTGCAGACTAAAAATCTACTGACCAAGGATCATACAGGTTGGACCGGTTATTGGAGAGACGCCTGATCGCATCATGACCACTAATGAGGTGCTTGAGAAGCGGACTCTCTTACATCTGTATTTTACACGCAAGTCAATAAAATTTGATTCATAGAAACCACCTCCTGCATGAATTTGGGTCTTAGTTTTTTTGTGTATTTCTCCTTGAAAAATGATGGTTAGTTATTTCATCACTGTCTAGAATGGATAATCTGATAGAAATTAAAGGATGACAACATACTGGATAATATTTTCTATACTACTTATCCTCACTAGGGTTGCAGGTGATCTGCATGCAGCCTAGCCCAGCTGACTTTGTGTAAGAAGCTTTGTGGGGAAAATATAAATATTAAATAATGCCACGCTTGAAATATAATGTCTTTTGTTTCCAGAAAACATGAAAAACTGAATCAAATTCTGATGAAATGATATTTTCTAAATAATTTCATTTCTGGGGTAGAGATGAATGATTTGTTAAAGTAAAGACATAGCCAATTCCAACAGAGGTGGCCTGCATCCTGATGAAATGTTAAAGGCAAAAAAATATATATGATTAATAATGTTGGATAAAATGTGACCTATGCCGTTATTTTAGGAGGCAACACATCATACAAAAAGGTGATCTTCTGTAACATACACTTTATCTCTAATAATAGTTATTTCTCCAGGTGCAAATGTTAAAACTGCGGCATGAATGTGGAATGTGCAATTAAAATTGCAGTTTCCAGAGTCCTTTCGGAATGAGTCGGTTGAGAATACGCGTGTTGTTAAATGGATACTTTTCTGACACGGTCATTCGAAACCGAACCGTTGTGGAGGCGGACTTTTTACTTATTTATTTTTTAACGGTACAGCTGCATTCAATCTTAAAACTTGTGTATTTCTTCTGAATGTTTTGCCGATAAACTCCTTTTTTATTTATTGTACACTTTTTTTTTTAAATAACAAAAGAAAAGCCTCTTACTTGACCCACCACTACCCTGTTGTGTGTTTAACGCGTGGAAGTGAACGGCATCGCCGGAGCAAGCTTGCAAGCACCGCCCGACCGTACGGGTGTGTTCGCGCGCCTACCGTGTCCGCTGATGTGGTTCTCCGCGTGTCCGTGTCCCGTGTGCCTGGTGGACACGCACAGTCCCACGTAGTGCAAAGTCCCCAGCAGTACCCTGAAGGTTCCCATCGCGCTTCTTCTTCTCGTGTTTTGTGTCTTGTGTCTCCTGCTGGCGGAGGTTCCGCCAGTGTTCTTCTGTCCACCTGATGCGTTAAATCCACTCGGAGGGAAGGAGTGAGGGAGGGAGGGGAGTGGAGATTGTGCTTGTAAGTGGCGTGAAAGTGGACGTGGGCGAGATGCGTAAAGGCTCCGCAGCCGTCTGGCAGCTCAGTCGGGGCAGGAATGACTGACTGACTGGTCGCCGCCTTCCCCCGCGCATGGGTCTATTTGCTGCGGAAGGAGACGTCACTGGGTGCTGGGGCTTTGTGAGGGGGAGCGTCAGCATTCATTAGTACGGGAGGGAGAATTAATAACTTACCCTACTGGTGGGAAAGAACGAAATTGAAATACTTAAGTCAATTTGTCAGGTTCGGTGAAGAAAACACTCATTTCGACCAACTTAAATAAATCACTCAAATTCATTATCACTAACTTTATTAGAGACAGTGTGTCTCAGGTTCTATTTTTTTATTTCGTTCCCTTCAAATTTGTGTAAGCTTTTGTTAAATTGTTAATTATTATCATTTTATATTTGAGCATTGTTAAATTGTTATTATCATTTTATATTTGAGCATTATATTCTTTTATGTTACAGTTACCTAAATTATATTCTGTTTAATACTTTATGAAATATTCTTATGTTGCTTACATCTGATTGGCGAAGAAAAGGAGGAAGGGTGGTCGTTACCGGAAGGAGGGTTGTTCGTTCGAGAGTTACGAGGCAGACGTTGAAAAAAATAAAAAGAGCTGTGTTCAAACGAAGTCCATATCCCCTTTTTGCCCATTCCGAACGTAGAGCAATCCATCCAGAACCTACGAACCCCTCAACTTACATTTGTATGTCACTCCAGTCAACGGCGGCTGAGATTTTGTTTGTTAGATGAGGATTCTCTCATGTAAACATGCAACAAAAACGTGCAAATGCTGAAGAAGCACTGATACGTGCGCATCGCAAAATGTGCTTCACGTATTGTGAAAATCCAGAAAAGAGCCAAACCAAAAAATGCTCCATGTCAATACTAAGGCGGGGAAAAAACATCCTCAGCATCGCTCTTCCCTGTTGCTGTCCATGGTCCTAAAAAAGACATTAGCCTGTTCAACTATGAAGCTACATTACCATCGAGACTTCGTGGTTTCTCTGAAACTGTGCTTTGCTTTGTATACACTTAATCGGTCTTGTATGCACATCTAGCCCGAAGAGGCGTCGTGATGTGTGTGCATGTGCACCTCAATGAGCCAAATGACAAATGGGCCACAAGAAGAAGAAAAAATAAACAGGTTTCACATTCAATAACAGTATGATATACCGGTAGTACTGTATGCACGTAAAGGCTCCGCAGCCGTCTGGCAGCTCAGTCGGGGCAGGAATGACTGACTGACTGGTCGCCGCCTTCCCCCGCGCATGGGTCTATTTGCTGCGGAAGGAGACGTCACTGGGTGCTGGGGCTTTGTGAGGGGGAGCGTCAGCATTCATTAGTACGGGAGGGAGAATTAATAACTTACCCTACTGGTGGGAAAGAACGAAATTGAAATACTTAAGTCAATTTGTCAGGTTCGGTGAAGAAAACACTCATTTCGACCAACTTAAATAAATCACTCAAATTCATTATCACTAACTTTATTAGAGACAGTGTGTCTCAGGTTCTATTTTTTTATTTCGTTCCCTTCAAATTTGTGTAAGCTTTTGTTAAATTGTTAATTATTATCATTTTATATTTGAGCATTGTTAAATTGTTATTATCATTTTATATTTGAGCATTGTTAAATTGTTATTATCATTTTATATTTGAGCATTATATTCTTTTATGTTACAGTTACCTAAATTATATTCTGTTTAATACTTTATGAAATATTCTTATGTTGCTTACATCTGATTGGCGAAGAAAAGGAGGAAGGGTGGTCGTTACCGGAAGGAGGGTTGTTCGTTCGAGAGTTACGAGGCAGACGTTGAAAAAAATAAAAAGAGCTGTGTTCAAACGAAGTCCATATCCCCTTTTTGCCCATTCCGAACGTAGAGCAATCCATCCAGAACCTACGAACCCCTCAACTTACATTTGTATGTCACTCCAGTCAACGGCGGCTGAGATTTTGTTTGTTAGATGAGGATTCTCTCATGTAAACATGCAACAAAAACGTGCAAATGCTGAAGAAGCACTGATACGTGCGCATCGCAAAATGTGCTTCACGTATTGTGAAAATCCAGAAAAGAGCCAAACCAAAAAATGCTCCATGTCAATACTAAGGCGGGGAAAAAACATCCTCAGCATCGCTCTTCCCTGTTGCTGTCCATGGTCCTAAAAAAGACATTAGCCTGTTCAACTATGAAGCTACATTACCATCGAGACTTCGTGGTTTCTCTGAAACTGTGCTTTGCTTTGTATACACTTAATCGGTCTTGTATGCACATCTAGCCCGAAGAGGCGTCGTGATGTGTGTGCATGTGCACCTCAATGAGCCAAATGACAAATGGGCCACAAGAAGAAGAAAAAATAAACAGGTTTCACATTCAATAACAGTATGATATACCGGTAGTACTGTATGCAAAAAAAAAAACAAAAAACAAAAACGGTATGTTAACAATTTGATGACGGATTTAAGTGAGAAAGATATTACAATCTTAAAACAGCTGGGTCAAAAGTAACCCAGACCAGGAGAAATAGCTCACCCTGTGCTGAGTCCAAAAGGGACCTAGCAAATGCTGTATAATTAACAGCCAGCACTTTGGGTTGAGGATTTGACCCTGCGGTCTTCCACACTGAGCCAGCTGCCACCAACACTTTCACAGAATGTTACATAACATTTACTGACAACTTACAACTGACTTTAATACACTCCAAAAATGGCAACCAGCTTCAAATCCAATTTTTAGCCCAATCTGCTGGGTCAAAATAATTAACTTGGGGGGGAAAAGTTTCCCAATTCTCAAAAAAACCTATCACAGCTACTGAGCAAGTGCGTTTGGGGGAAAAAACTGCATTTGTGTGTGTGCGTGTGTGTGTGTATATGTGTGTGTGTGTGTCTAACCAAGGTTTTAATCCTCTGTTCACTCTCTGTTGGCATTTTGGTTCGGCGATACCAACTCAGCTTTCCGAAGTCATTTTTGAGGGAATTGCCATTTCTAGTTTAAGATAACAAAACAAAATGAAAACACTTGGACCAAGAGTTTTCAGGATTGGTGGGGTTCAGGTCCTCTTTTGACTCGACAGGACCTTTTGCTGTTGGAGTCGCGCTAAAAATAAAATAAGCCAATAGTGTCTCGGCTTTGCATCGTGTTTGCACTCAGCAATTTGGAAAGACAATTATTTGCCCTTCCCTCAGCTGTGAAATTGCTGTTGAACACGATACAGTCATAATCACTGATAAGAGACGCACAATGTCCTCCTCTGCCAATACAATATGCAAATCAGGTCCTTTTGCTCAACCCATGTTTTACTGTCAGTAGTTTTTTTTTTTTTAGTATGAAAGGATAGCAGATATTGTTGACATTCTGTGATGAAACTCTTCACATTCCTGTATTTCTAAGTCATCTCCTGCATGGAAGCGATGTTTTAATTCACTGACCGCCACCCATCCACATAATTGTTTTTTCATCTACTTGTATGATTTCTTCCTATTTTCTTTGGCATTTGCAGTTCTTATGCTTCAATCTATTTTCCGCAGTGCTTGTGCTCGCTATGGTCACGGGTGAGCTGGAGCGGGTTGCATCCTGGATTGGGTGCCAGCCAGTTGCAGGGCACATAATGTATCGGCAACCAACCATTTCATCACGATGGACAATTTAGAGCACGCGTATCAAACTGCAGTCCTCGTGGGCCGCTATGCTGCATGTTTCAAATTCAAATGATCAGCTCAGCAGCAAGCTCTGCAGCACCCTGATGATAACTATCCTGATCATCTGAATCTGGTGTGTTGGGGAAGGGAAACATCTAAAAGATGCAGGATGAGGGCTCCGGAGGGCCAGAGTTTGACATCTGTCATTTATAATGCAAATATGGGGAGATGATGCAAACTCCAACAGAGCTGAGATTCGAACCCTACACCTTAGAACTGCGAGGCAGACGTAACACATGGCAACTATCGGAGCCTACCCGGAAGAGAGTGGCCATCTTCATGTTTGTGAAATCACATGTGATCAGGTGAGAGCTCTCACTCGGAGACTGGATTCTTGACCGGAGGTGACAATCTTTATGTGTGTGGGGCACTGTGTTGAGCTTATCTGAGCAGCACACACACAATGCCACCAAAATTGTGATATGCCTGATTTGTGGTCCTTACCTGAGCCCTGAGCAACTGTGATGTCATTTTCTGTCGACAGCAAGTGGCAAAATGGCCGCCCCATGAGATGACTAAAAATGGGTGGATTTTACTGCTTAACTAATCTTCCACAAACGCAATATGAATCCGAATGCCGTGCTTGGACTAGTGGGGTTGCATCAAACATATTAAGGAAAATTTAGAAGGGCGACTTCCCCTCTAAAAGAAAAGAAAAGAAAAAAAAAAGGTGGAAACATAAAACAGCTTCAGGTACAAATTTGCTGTTCCCATCTGTACAAGCTTAAGAAGAATAATTCACCTTGGCATTCTCCAAATAAAGCAAACACGCCATCAGGATTGTATTACCAAATATTTTATTAGAAAATATTTTCAGCTTCAATCTAAAACAAAGGTTTGTTTCAAAAAAAGAAAAGAAAAAAACCCGGAGAAACCAAGAGACTGCTGCTAAGCGGATATTTCCAGACACATTTTCACAGAGACTTTAACTGCTTTGCTTGACATAGTCTACAAAAACAAAATTACACAAAATAATTCGAATGGGAATTCCACTCCATGCGTGTCAAAATAACACAAGTATTGAGTGGTATGGTTAACTCCAAGACTCCCGTAGCCATAAATGGCAATCTGTTGTTAAATTGGCGTAATCGCTAACGTTATGCACATTTTGGCCTGGCTGAATATGAAAAAAATAAAAAAGTAAAAATACACCCGTCAATCCAAAAAGATGGAGGGTTTTCACTGCAGCACTGCTTGGAACATAAATGGGGGGGAAACTATGTCAAAAGCAATATCTTGCAGGAAAAACTAGATAATTGCCATTTGTCAAGGCCACAAGTGGCCCCAAATGCAACAAAATTATGTGTGTGTCTCATACCGATGAAGAAACAAAAAGCCACGTTAAAAGTTTTCTAAAAGGTCCATGATCCTCTTGCGTTCTGCCTCTTTGAACTCTTCACTCTTGCCATCCCCGATGCTCTCTGCGTACTCTACAAATAAGACACAGACAGTTGATAGGCCTCCCAGAGGCGGACATCTTGTGGATGATGACAACCATACATGAATGACATTGACATTCAGCTCTGCGGGAAGCACCGAAGAGACATTCAAACCTCATTTACGGACGATTTGGTCAGCAACCCAAGTTTTGCTTGCGGATCAAGGATAGAATAAAGCATAAGGCAAAACTATTTGAACGAAAAGGAGTTGTTTGAAAGAAGGACGAAGGCCAAACGCATTCAATTGCGGATACTCGACTCGAGGTGTTAAGGTCGTTCAAACATTTTGCAGCTGGAAATGTAAAACAAGGTTTCTTATCATGGCGGCTAAAAATAGAAAAAGCACAGAAACAAGTCCTTTTGGCCTCTGGACGGTGATAGTCCAGATGTATTTAGTCCGGAGGTATGCTATTGTGGGTGTGTGTGTGTGTGTGTGTGTGTGTGTGTGTGTGTGTGTGTGTGTGTGTGTGTGTGACTGCCGAGCAAACAGAGTAGGTTGCAGCAGCTGTAGCCTCAGTGGGGTCTCCGCTATCTTCTGAGGCAGGAATTACACATCACGCCCCAGGAAGAACCAAAGAAATAAAAATAAAAAAAGAAGGAAACTAGAGTAGAGTGGAAAGAATTAAGAGAACTTAACTGAAAGACTCAGCAGTTTTTGAGACAAACAGCATGTTGTGATGACAATTAAGGAGGATTTAAGACAGACTTATAGAATGTTTTGAAGGCTTATCAGTCAGTTGAAGGCGTGAATGTGTGAAGTTGACCCAATGACAAAATAGTTAAGCCGGTTGATAAAAGTGACACATCCACCAAATTGAGAGGTAAAAACCAGCGACTATGGCAATATTCTGTCACCATGGCAACATGGCGGGGTAAAATACAGAAGTGTGCAGCACTTACAAAGGTCAGGAATTTGCAATGATGTGGCTATGCTAGAAAACTAAATGACAGCATTTTTTTTAAAGAACTTCTAAAATCAACTGAAGAAATCTGACAAGTAATTCAGATTTGACATTTTCATTTACCATCCGTGTTATTTATTTTGAGCTGAGAAGAGGTGAGCTGAAGTTGAGTAACTCTAACACACCGCACAAAACAAAGGACACCTTGACACAGGTTGCCAGCTCATTTTTGGAGCTAAGTTTAGGAAACCATCTGGTGGGCTTTTATCAGCAGCGATGGCAACGCAAAGTGGCCTCTGGCCAAATGAAATGGATCCCTTTCCATTATTCCCTATGAGAGAAAAAAAAAATCCAAATCATCGATCAACCTGCGTGTCACAATCGATTGTGGTTGACCTTGTACGTTCGGTAGGGTTAAGTCCAATTTATGTCCTTGGAATCCATTTTATTCATGCCGACCCTCTAACATCAATCCCTGAAGGACTCTTTCACACGACACAAATCTTTCTGTATGCTTATTCCGAGAACACAACCTGTGACATGAGCTAGAAACCTTGAGCCTTCTCGAATAAAAAAACCTCTTCTGACTCATCTAGTGAGCTCAAGCCAAAAATGTACACACCCACATCCAGTGAGTGCTTAACCGTCTTCTACAGTTTTCCATGGTCTAGGTGAGACCACAGAAATGGAACTCAGAGGGCCAAACATGTGGATGTTTAAAATCCATTACCAAAGTAAGGCCACGTGCATTTTACAAGAACACAACATGGACATGAATCTAAGTACCGTATTTTCCGCACTATAAGGCGCTTCGGAGTATAAGGCACACCTTCAATGAATGACCTATTTTAAAACTGTTTTCATGTATAAGGCGCACTGCATTATAAGGCACACAGAATAGAAGCCACAGTAGTTGCTGCGGTTGCGTTATGCATCCAATAGATGGAGCTAGGCTACAGGGAATACAATAAAACTTTATTTATATGGAGCCCTGGCTGCGGTTGCATTATGCATCCACTAGATGGAGCTACGCTAAAGGCTTTCACAACCACTGCAGGTGTAACACAGCGCTTTACAGAACATTTAAAATACTTCACCCAAGAAATCAGAATGTTGATCCTTAAAGAAGGCGCATCGGATCAAAAGGCGCGCTGTCGGCTTTTGAGAAAATTGAATGCTTTCAGGGGCGCATTATAATGCGGAAAATACAGTACTACATTAGTCCCGGGAATGAAAAATAAATAAATGAAAAAGATTTCACTGTATACCGAACATATTGTTCCTGACAGGTTTTATAATGTAAAAGGAATGAAGTGTGACAACAATCAAGGACACATAAATATGTGCGCTGCACACTCAGAGGAAAAAAAAAACCCAAAACTTGCTGCACAGATGCAATCAGAAGCAAAAGCAACACATTTCCCCACACAATGACAATTGGCGAGTTGACATGTTGGCACCGGCACGCGTGACGGATGGCTCTATCTACCCTGCTACACGCTCCAGGGCCAGAGGGGGTGTGAGTGGAGCCTCTTCAGCTTTATCACACAATGATATAGGAACGACAGATGACACAGTGGGAAAAAAAAAAACCCCAACATGGCTGCTGGCGTCAGGCCCGTTTCCGTTTCTCTTTTACACACTGCAGTCCGTTGATTGTTTAACTGAGAAGAGTCGCGGTTGTGGCAGCACGGGAAGAAGACAAGGCTCCTGTCCTCCTCTGAGTTAGTGCTTCTATGCCCTTACATATTTTACAGAGTTTTTTCGCCCATCAATGGCTAAAAAGACCAGCCGTGCTTATTTCCTGCCCGATATAATTTGTGTGCTGGAGGAGCCAAATCCGGAATGAGTCCAACTTTCATTGTGAGGAAATTCTGTGTTCGGAATGAGCGGCTGCATGAGGTATACCTGGCTGAGCTATTTAAATGAATTGCTTTTGATATCCACTACAGACAGGCGGACACCAAAGACACAATTTGTTGATGATACTGGCAAGAGTTTGTTGGCACAGTATTTATCAGCAATGCGGTAAAAATGAGAGAAAATGTGAATATTTATCGTGCGCTCCTAAATGTTGATTTGCTCTTAGTACTGTGCTTCTAACTTCATTTTGTCTTTGACAAAAATCTAAAATGAAAACAAGTTGGGTCGTTCATGACAAGTGAAATTGCATTTTTTTGTGCTTGTGCTCAGACATCAGGACGGGGGGCAAATACTTTTTCTTGGCTCTCTACTGTATGCTGTGCTTGATTCAAAATCGTTTTCCAGGTCATTACGATTTTTATTTGATGACAAAAAGGAATCAAACCACTTTAATAACCTGTAAATATTGTGCCCAGCATCAGTACAAAGTATTCTAGACTCAATTTGTCATGTCATTTACTCACCCGACTATGCTAAATTAAATGCAGTGTGGAAAATGTGCAAACAAAGAAAATCTTGGTCAATACAACGAAAAGAGCTACGAGAAATGTCTTTGAAATTGACGATTTATGACCACTTTCTTTTGGTTGTACTGCAGGTGACTTACTGAGCTCATTTGTGCTGCAGTCGATCTAAATAAGTTTATATAACGCAACATACAATTTTACAAAAATTGTAAAAGTATTATTCCTGAATATTTATTTCACTTTCAACCACTCGACATGTTCAGTGGCATCAGTGCTATACATACACATGTAGTTCTTATTTTTTTTCTTTGTATTTTTGCCCTCTATGGACAATAAAAGCGGTATTGTGCTATGACCAAAACATAAATACAAATCTATATAAATAAAACATGAATTGGAATATTTCATATCACACACTTTTTATGCTGTGTCTTTGATTTAAAGATGACAATACGCAAAAATCTACAAAAATTGTAACATATGGGGTAACCCATGTGTTACAAACATCGTAGAAATTGCAGCACAAGGGTTACTGACTCACCTCTCATGATGTGGCGCACAACTTTGACAGAGCCCCCTCTTAAGTTGAGAATTTGATGGACCCTCTGCTGCAGCTGAAGTCAGACAGACAGACCATTAGGTGTAAAACCTCGAAAATACAACTTACCGAACGTGAAGGTCATCACTTGAAAAGGCGGCACTGAAATGTAAATATGAGGCAAGTCGAGATACTTGAGCTAAATACAACCTTAAGGGCGTATGGAAAATGCACTTCAAATTATCTGGAGCGTCTGTCCACCCACCAACTGTGAGTTTAGAGACTCAATCAATCAATCCACCAACCGACCGCGTTGGTATCTGGTGATCTGATAGATCAGGAGTTCGCAAGGCTTCTGGGAACGGGGGAACGCATTTTTTTACAAGGACCCTTCCTAATTTTAACTACTTTGTGTGCTTCTACTTGCCATAGGATTTTTTTTTTAATCAACATAACCTAAATATTAACCCTTTCAGGGACAGCGGTTACTACAGCGGACAGCTTCTCATATCAGGTTGCAGTAATTCTTTGAAGAAACATGCTATGTAGAGACCCGGGAACCGTTCAGAATCGTGAAAAAAAAAAAGGCATATCTTTCTTACCGTATTTTCCGCACTAAAAGGCGCACCTAAAAGCCTTCCATTTTCTTAAAAGCTAACAGTGCGCCTTAAAACCCAATGCGCCTTGTGTAAGGCTATTACGGTAATATTTCGACCCCCAAATGGCTCCTTGCTCGAGAGATGCTGACAACGCAGAGTTCAAACTTAGGGCAGTTGAACACGGAACTAGAGCAGCGGCAAGAGAGTTCAACGTTAACGAGTCAATGTTATAACTTGCTGTTGGTCAACTGAACTGTCGCTGCTTTATAAATACATTTTACTGACGTCTGATCGTTCTGTTCACGTTTCGTTGAGTGTAGCTCCATCTAGTGGATGCATTGTAGATTGTCTTATAACACGGTGCGCCCAATGTATGAAAAAAATTATAAAATAGGCCATTCATTGAAGGTGCGCCTCATAATCCAGTACGCCTTTTAGTGTGGAAAATACGGTAAGAGCTTTCATGTACTCTGACAACTACAAATCCAGTATGTGGCATTAGCTTTACAAAAGTCACTCCAACACAGCGGAAAATTCAAGACAGCAGTATCGGTTTCACAAGTCTGAAAACTGCTGTTTGAGAACCTTTATTTGTCAATAAAATTGTTTCAAATGCACGTTTTCTTTTTACGTGGGCGGGAAAGCACCACGTCTCAAAGACGTTTGTACCTGTGATAGTCCCGAGTTGCTGATCTCGACCATGATGTAGCAGATGGACTGAAGAACAAACAGTCCGGCGTCCAGTCGACGGAGGTAAAATTCATCCTCCATGTTGTCATCAAGAATTTCGCCACGGCGAACCATCTCCTAAACGCACACAGACACACACACGCATGTCCTGATAAACTACAATGGCACTCATCATGCAAACCTCTACCGTGGCCAAACATCAGGTGCAATAATAAGCACACCTCCGTAAAAACCCACCTGATGCGTGAAATTTAATTATTCAAAAACAAATTTAATTTGTCTTTCAAGTTTTGCTCTGACCGCGGCCCGTTGCTCTTTTCAATCCAAGAAAATCATTCCATAAGGCACTGCAACGTGCAGATCCTCTTTCCAAATTCAGAATAAAAATCCCCGCACTGCATGAGCAGTTTGTTTATTCCTATTGGCGACCACTGACAAACCAATAGGCATGAATACACAAACGGCACCCACAGGGATCCCCGCAAGGCAAACAGATTACAATGAACGGGCTTTTCTTGTTTCCCTCAACACAACAAAGCGCCTGAAAACAAAAGAGACACACTGAAAAACTGCAGTGTTTTAAATTGTCGTCTTTGTTTTGCAATTCTTCCGCAAATCCATTGTCATCACTAACCAGACACACGAGTCCATTGATTTTCGCTGCTCAACGGCACATGGGCATTCCACGCTTGCGCACGGGCGCACTTGCATCGTTATCCATTTTAACAATCCTGTCAGTATGCCAATAATACGGTGCTGCCAATACACATACAGGCAACATTAATCACCATTAGAGATTAAGGAGCAGACGGTGACGGGGAGAGGGTGGGAATTGGTGCGGAAGCCAACTGGAGCGCCATGCAAACAAATCCATTTTAACTCTCTATGTCAAGAGTGAAAATGAACTTCGAGTGTTTTCTTTTGTCCGGCGTCACGTAGACCTGATTTCTTGGTTCTTATACACGCGAAACATAAACGTTAAAGGTGTATGAAAACTAAATCATCACGCCCTGACCCCGTGTGAGGATAAAGCGGTTCAAATCATGGATGTGTGGATGTGTAAAAACAGTTGCTGGCGAGTATGTGCCGGGCACAGAAATCCAAATCGTGATTTTTTTTTTTTTTTTTTTTTTTATAGTCCGACAGAGAACGACTTTTTTTTTTCTGTGAAAACAACTTAACAAGGCAAACGCAGTAAATCAGGAAAAAGGGCAACTTTTCAAAGCTCGCCTGATAAAAACAAATAGCCTGCAGCGAGGAGCTTAATGGCGTCACACGTGACATTTGCATCCCTCGGATTTAATCAGCCTTGTCCTGAAAGATCGATGACAGCGCAGAACCCAATTATGGCCTTGCAGTTCAGCTCATTAACACGACTCAATCAATTGGTGAAAGCGCAAGAGAAATATTCATTGGAGGCACACACTGGAATGAAAAACAATATAGGTACTGTCGACGTCACGTTTTGAAAGAGTCATCTGATCTGCTTTCCCATGCGCGCTTATCATTCAAAGCTTTTTTTGTACCCTGCTCACAAGTCACTATGAAATTTGGACTTTTTCTTGCTTTTTCTTGATTTTTAATATTTATATTAAATAATATTTAATATTTGGGCCGCGGTCAGAGCAAAACTTGAAAGACAAATTGAATCCATTTTTGAATATTTATTAATGTACTTAATTTATTTTTACATGTGGATGACAATTACCGCATTTTCCGCACTATAAGGCGCTTCGGCGTATTATTCAATGAATGGCCTATTTTAAAACTGTTTTCATGTATAGGGCGCACGGAATTATAAGGCGCATAGAATAGAAGCTAAAATAGTGGCTGGGGTTGCGTCATGCATCCACTAGATGGAGCTACGCTAAAGGGAATATAATACAATACATCCCCAGTTATAGAAGTGTGTGCAAACCTGTGCAACCACATGATCTCACTTGCTTATTTTTTGTCCTCTCTTTTCTACAGCTTTTACATCAAATTAAATGGTGGAAAAGGTTTTGAAATGATTTATTTCAATATTTTTTTCGATCACGAAAAACTTGGCAATTTAAAAAGAAATGTGGAGACTTTTTTTTTTTTAATGCACTGTATATACCGTGTATTTGCCGATATTGCTTTCCATATTTGTGTCTCTACTTTTGCTCGAGACCACTCAACCTGTGCTGTCTCATCGTCTGCGATACCCCGATGCAAACTTAATGTGGTGTTGTCAGCATTTTGCAAAACCCCACTTGGACAGTGTGTGTGAGGCAAGCGATGCTCTTGATTAGGCTTTGAGGGTGGGCGGGGGGCGGGGGTTATATAACCTCATTAAAGACCCACATAGAGAGGCTGATGAAAAAATATTGCGGCTGCTTTCACACTATATTCCCAGACCTTCAGACAGGACTCACCAAAGTGGGACATTGAGATTTGTATGTTAAAAGTCCGTCTTTAAATGGTGACAAATGAGTAAAATCGCTTGTACAAATAATGTTCCCCTCAAAAAGACAGACACCCGCCATCTGCAGTTGGGTAAATAAATGCCCCCCCCCACTTGAAGAAAGACTTCAGATCAAAAGCAATGTAAAATGCTTAAAAAAATGAAGAAACAGGGAAAAGGAAGGTCAGTTAAATGTAAGGCAAAGGAAGTCGTAAAGTAGCTTTAAGTTTAAAATTAAGTAATACTGACGGGGAGAAGGACAGTTCAGAGATAGCATGGCAAGAAAAATAAGTAGCTTATTTCGGGATGGGTGCTGGAAGTGTTGTCTGGAAGTGATTTTTTCTTTGCCATCTTCTGAGAAACCAGTGGAAATCAAGACTGCAAAGAAATCCATTTTGTTTAGCTCTTAAAAAAAAAACAGGCTTACCGGGCTAAAGGTGCAACAGAGAGATTAAATGGAGCAGTGGAAGCCCCACGATTCCGCTGTGGGGACGGACGTGCTGTACCTGGGATGGGGTCGTTCCCATCTTGCAAGTCATAGAGATGTCAGCTATTTCTCACTTTTTTTTTTTTTTTTTTAAACGGAGCTTCACCGGTAGACAGGAGCTTTGTGTGTTAAATGCCTCAAAGATACCAATTTTCCAATCACATCCCCTGTTCTGTGGTGGCGTGACAAAACGTGCGCAAAAGCAGTCATAATGTGCGGGCTGGCCAGTGCATACATATATGTCAATCAAAAATGGATTTATCAAGTCATGAACAAACAAAACAAACAGTTAAAGCGATAAAAGCCAACACGAATGAAATCATGGCCTCCTTGGCAGAGGTAATGATTATTCTCTCACATCAAACATATACATGGTACGAGTATATTTTTATACTTCTGTCTGTCTGATCTGGTGTATTTCTGAAATATAATAAAGGCCGAATTAAATGTTTTGTCCTTTTTTATGAGTAAATGAATCCAAGCTACGTCTCTCTGGCACAAGATGGGCTGCAAACGTGCGCGAATCATAGAATACAGATGTGTGGCTTCGAAGATGCTGGTACACATGCAGAGAAGGTACCTTATCACACACAAATCACCCTTTTGCCATTTTCTGGGGAGGGGGGGAGGGGGAACAAGAGCATGACAGAGGCACACGGGGAGAGGAAAAAATGCGAACGAGAAGGAAGATAAAATGTCAACCTGTCTGGCCTTTCAAGGTAATCTCAGTCTGACTGACAAATGAATTTTTCTGTCATCTGAACATGCTCTCCAACTCTTGAACACATATTCCCTCTCCACCTTCGCTCACTTTCCCCCATCTGATGCATATTTCCTGTTTTTTTTTTTTTTTAAATCTCGTCTGGTCACAGCAGCTCCAGCTTCCTTATTTATTTTCTGTCAAGTTTTGACCACCTTATCTTGCAACATGTCTCCGTCCGCCTGTCTATTCCACAGCTCCAGTGACACAATTGGAAACAGCTCAATAGGAGCCTGGGAGAAGTGTGTAGTTTTTCATTCCTTTCCTCCAACGTGTCACGTTATCAGGAAGACCTGTCGGCTTTTTTCCATGAAGCTTTGGATGTGACGCTGGGCAGAACAGCAATCACAAAAGATGCCGCTTTTTTGGTTTTTTTTTTTGGGGGGGGGGGGGGGGTGGGATCAATCATCCAGAGTTTTACAACAGAGGATTGTGATTCATATCACAATCTTTGCCGCACAACATAGAAATGTTTCACATAAAATAGCGGTGACTTCAAGGTTTTTTCCTCTAACCAAAAGAGCACAATGACCGTTGTAAAAGGTACTGAGAGAGAGAGAACACCCTGTCAGGGAGGAAGGGATGGATGGAAGGTGAAAGGAGAAATGCTTACATGTTTCTCCCCTTCGATCCTCTTGTCAGCCTGTTGAACAGCCTCCAGGTACTTAAAATGCAACTCCATCAGTCGATCAACCTAGCGAGAAAAAGAAATTGAGGCGGAGAGAAAGAAAGCGAGTGCGGCGGCATACACAAGCCGAAAGAAAGAAATAGGAGTGCATTAGGGAATGGATGCGAGTATAAAGATGAGACAAAATGAAATAAGAAAATACAGTCAGACAACAAACAGGAAGTAGGGAATTAAAATTTGAATAGATGGTGTCTGCATTATGTGCCTACAAATAGTCGGCACGCCCCTGTTCAAATGCCAGGTTTTTGTGATATTAAAAAAAAACAGACCTAATATCTACAACTAAATTTAAAAAAATAATTTGAGGTCATATGATTGCACAAGCGTGCACACCCTCATAACTGGGGATATGGCTACGTCCGCAATCATCAAATTGCATTCAAAATGGGAGCCAGCACATATGCACCACCATTTAAAGTGCCTCTGACTAAGCGCAGATAAAGCTGTTCTAGTCGGCGTTTCCATATTTTTGCTTTCGAGCTTAGCCCTGAAGGTTTTGTGAAACTGACTAATACTCGAAACCCTTTACTCATCTCAACTCATCTTTATTCGTGTAGTGCTTTCCCAATGGCTGCAGCTGTAAAAGTTCAGCCTTGGTTTCTTCAGCGAATAACAGATTTTTTACACATGTTGGAGAAATTTCAAGTACTGTATATTTTTTGCAAAAGGGGTTTTAATGTTTTTCTTTGTAAGAGTAGTGGGAATCAGTGATGTGTTCCTCGAGCCGGTCCTTGGCCTCGAGGACCGAAGGTCGGTCCTTGGTCCTTGGCCTTGGCCTTGGGAGTCAATTCCTTGGCCTTGGCCTCGGGTTGCCGGTCCTTGGACACAACACTGGTGGGAATAGTGTGGTGTCCTGTTTGTAGATTAAAGTGGGGTGGAAACAAAGGAATGAGTGGAAATGTAGCGTGTCCGTAATGCGCGCCAGCGTCACTGCGTGCACTGCGAGGGTGAACGAAGTGTCCAATTGCTCACGCGCGAATCTTAGAGGGAACATTGGACTCGAGCCATAGTTTTTAATTTATTTGCCTTCGAGGCTTGAGTTGGGAATTTAGGTTGAATGAATCCAAAACATGACACAGTCATTAACATTAAGCGACGGACTGCACAGTATGAAACAAATGGCTTTGAATGAATATTTTTTGCTCGTTTTCCCTTTGAATCGCTGTCATTTCTTGAATATAAAACACATTTCTATTGATGATAAATAAATGCATCCAAAATCAAGGGAGCGCATTATATACGAATACATGTGAAAGTATGAATATTTGTCACATTGTACAGATATTTTTTACTGGTACCCTGGAATGGTGAGAAGAAAAAAAAATTCTACTTTCATTCCAATATATGTGACTCATAATGTTATAAATAGATAGAAAACATTTTTCTCACTGTTCACCTTGTGTCATAGTAGGGCACGTACATTTGATATCTGTTATTATACCCTAATCACACATTACCGGAATATGATCCTGATTGCTGGTGGATTATATTTTATCATGAGTAACATTGAACAGTGGATACTGTGCAATTTATTTTAACGGGCCACATTTGAGTTTGCTTTTTTTACCGTGGCACTTTTTACATTGGAGTTCAAATGTATAAATTATTGTCGTCCCGAGTCACTTGGGCTTTGTCACTCAAACACATGAATTTTCCCATTGTGGAATTAAGACACGCCTCAGCGAGTGCATCACACCGAAAAGTACTTTTGATCACAGATGCAGAAGCTAAAGACTGCACAAAGGAGAAAAGAAATGCAAAAAAAAGATCAACAACTACCAACCTTCTCACAATCATTCTCTGTAAACTTGTTTAGGAGTCTGCTTCTCTGTTGGGACTTGAGATTTCTCAGCATGGAGGCGATAATTGAACAGACATGCTCTAAAAAAAATACAGAAAGGAAGACAAAAGTAAAATGATTGTATCATCTCAACATAGTCCCAATTTACAAAAGCAAATCCTTGACAAAACACTTCTATTTTTGCAGTACATTGACTGGAACGGAAAGATATACTTCAAAATTTACATCAAGGTGACCAGAAGTAAATATTGTGTGAGACAGAATGACCACTTTTGAAGTTATTTTTGTGCATGCAAATACTTTTTGTTTTTCTACTTTCTTTCTTTCAAAATTTTGCTGCTATTAATTGCGAATTTCTCCATCGTGAGACAAATAAAGGTTTTCTTATTTTATTTTACAAACAGGTTATACAAGCAGCTGACAATGATATCCGTTTTATGATATTGACTAAACAATTGTACACACAGGTGCAGAAGAACACGACATTGTAAAATCTCTAAAAGTCCAGCGCGCAGGGAGAAAAATGCAATTGGACTTTTTCAACAAGAGGTCAATATTCTCACTCAACCATGCTTCTCTGTTGCTAAGCAACAAGAGCACAGGAATCAATCCCATTTCTGCTTTTAAAACTAATTCTGTTTTTGGTTCTTTTTTTTTTTCGGCAGTTGCCTTCGAGACCTGCGGCTCGCTCGCCCAAGAGATCTAAGGGCGGAAAGTACTGGCAGTCATCAACCACAGGTCACATTGAGAATTTAGTTAAACATGAAGGAAGGAAAAATATCACAAAATAAGGAAGGGCATTGTGATCATATTGAACAAACAAAACTCGCTGACATTCGCTTATTGGCTGAATGTGTGAATCTGAAAAACAAACACAAGAAATACGTTCTGCTTTTTCGGTGTTGTTCCAGTGTTACAGACCGTATCAAATATCAGTCTCGTAAAAGGCAATTGTCAAATGGCAAAGGTTGCAACAACAAACCTCTGAGGTATATATAGGCACATATATAGCTCTGAAGTTCAGTGCAATACTGGTTTAAAATTGCTTTACATTAAAAGTTGAGTCGATTTAGCCACAGATTTGTTTGCATTTTTGTTGTAATCTCATTTATGACTTGAAGTTACCAAATTCAACTATAATTGAAGTATATAAACTGTCTTTCAGATGAATTCATGGTTCGTGTGCCTTTATTTTGCATGCGTGTGATATACCACGCAAGTTCTCGACAATGATTTTGCTGCCACCGCCACCGCCCATGGGCTGGGTCAGTCTGAAGTCATGACAGCACAATGAGTGACATTCCCACCACTGTTAGTTTCATGTCAGTAAATTATCCTCCTGGGAAAATCATTTGAACCATGTGTAGTTGGTCAATTGTCATTTTGAGAGGGGAGAGAGAGAAAAAAAAAAAAACAACAACAACTATTGATTTGTTCTGAGCGGTAATTGGTGTGGCCACCTTCACACACTGAACAGAATGCTATTGATCACAGTCGGCAGAAAGTTTGAAACTAAGCGGTGACCTCTCCGAGATTGGCAGAGGTGGAGAGTATTAAGGGGATACAGGCTAAGGGCAAGGCTGAGTAAAACAGTTTCCCAATCTGTCCTGAGACAAGCGTATCATCAATACCTAATTTGCACACAAGGGAAGAAGACGGATAGGCCGGTGACATCAAAGTAACACGACTAGAAGGTGACCAAATACTTTATACGTTTTTGTCTAGTCACACCATACTCTGATATCAGCAAAATAATCCATCAGGATAAATTGATTCACGTGTTTTTGATGATTAAAAAATGTGATCTAACAGGTGGAACTGCACAGCCGGTTCGCCACAACAGTCACACAAGAACTATTGACAGAATGGAGGAGTGAAGATGACTGACGCATGATGCGACCTGTGGGATTGGGTATTATATCCTGAAATGCAGGGGCCAAGGTGTGAAGCTTAACACAGACACTTCACTTTTATCGGTCTGTCGTGTTGTCGGCAGAACAGCAACTAACAATTATTTTCACAACTGATTAATCTGTCGATTATTTTGGTGATTAATTTGTGATCGGGGGTTAAGTGTAAAAATTTTAAACTGGGAATTATTTCAAATGGACAGTGCAGAAAATGCATAAACAAATGAACGATAGTTCAGGTACTGGGTTGGATCGTAGCATGTCAGAAAATAGGCAAACATGTTGATCCTTGCAAATGATGACAAATGTTTCGTTTTGATTCAATACAGACAATCAATTTGGTCTCATGGAGGCAACATTAATTTATTAACGAAACAATGTCTCGATATGATTAATCGCCTCTCAAAAATAATGATCAATTTGATAATCAATCAGTTGTCAATTAATTAATTAATCGTTGCACTTCTAGTTGCAAGGAACGGTCACTGTTCCACAAGTATGTTGAATACTTTCAGGGACAGCGGTTACTACAGTGGATATTATGTTATCGGGTTCCAGGGTGCACGAAAGGGTCAAATATTAATCACGTGTCTTCTATCACTGAGATTTGTTTAATTCCAATCGCTAATCAGCATATTTCCAATGCCGATTTTCGTGATAGAGAACTACTTTAAAAGCTTGAAAAATCACTTTTCCAATGGTCACAACTCAGAGAAAGTGTTCACAGTCAGTTTATTCTTATTCCAACTTTAAACTGTAGGCAAAAATAAAAAATAAAAAAACCTCATGCGGTGTAGTTTTATTGTGCGGCAGAAGAGGCACGGCAAAGTTCTGAACAGTAAGTGGTAATACTTCACAAAGAGACACAAACAAGGCCAAGAATATTTGTGGCCTGCGGGAAGAGTAACCAGCCTTTTGGCACCAGGGTGGTATGTCAGCCGGTTTCAAAAGCACAATCGAGATTTGACAGGAGCCAGACTTAACTGTGCTCTTACCGAGGGGTCCAATATGCAACAGTCAAGAACTCAACTCTCAACTCAACTCCACTGTATTTATAGAGCACTTTCAAACAGCCATCGCTGCATTCAAAGTGCTGTACATGGAAGGACTGAAATACTGCGACTTTAGGCTGCATTGTTGAAACAAATAATAAATAAATTCTAACAATAATAACAACAACAAAGTATCCCATACAAATTCACTCATCATTGCTACTTTTCCATTGCTGTCTTTCTCTCAAAAAATGCGAGTGATGTTACCGAGTGATACTTTAAATTCCACTAATTTAAAAAAAGCATTTGACGTTGGCAGAGAAGTACCAGTAGCAAGTCAACCATAAGATAACTACAAAATATCTTGCTGTATCGCTAAAAGTTTAACCACAATAATTATGTATGAGAGAAGGGCAAATGTATACACACACACACACGCACACGCACACGCGAGTACCATGACCCCACCCACTGAAAGCTCAGATAAAAATGAAGACAGGAACAAAAGATGTATTAAGCCTTTAAAAACCGTGTTCAATATGTTAAACCTTTCATTTACAACAAATGTGAGGGGCTGTATTTCATTAGCGCATGAGATTACCGACATGAAATATGATCAGTTCCCATCGGAAAAAGGCACAAGCGTAATTAAATGTGTCTTTACTTGGGGATTGTCAGCAAATCCTTCTTTGTGTTAAATATACGACTATAATAGGATTAGACAGCATTGCAGTTTTGACATCACAGATAGCAATCAGACTTGCGTCATTCCAAAATGCTATCTACATCAAAGCAACAGGGACGAGAATGATAACGGAGGACTCGACTTGATCGTAAGCTTTCTGCTGAGATATGCGACAAAAAATGCAAGATGGAGTCCAGATGATGCCTTAATCTGATCTGCTTTTGGTGCCACAGTTTAATAAAATAATACTGGCTAATATCAAATATAAGATACAAGAGCTAAATGGATGGGATGGTAAGTGAAAAAAAAATCTGTGAATAGTTTCTTTGTCAAGTATTGAGGGGAGAGGTTCTATTTTTGTAAATTTGACCTATTCCAAATCCAACAGCTTCCTCCACACTGACACTAGAGTTCCTAAGAATAAATTAGGGTTTTTTTTTTCTGTAATGTGAAGGTTGTCGCCAATTTAAAATGGAGGTTGCTGCATTCATTAGAAGAAAGGGTGAGGATGGAGTCATTTGTTGCTTTCAAAAGGTGTGAGGGAGGAACACATTAAAGAAACTTTTTTTAGTGGCCGAGCTTTGACAACTGAACCGTTCTTGTTTACGTTGATTCCTGTCCGCACACATACACCATTAGCCATCAAAGTATAATCCGCTGCAACAACTTTCTAACCTCTTCTCAATTAACAAATAATGAAGAATATGCACACCGATGACACGAAACCAGAAAAAAAAGGAAGCGCCTGGAAACGAATATTCATCAAGACGGCTGCAATTTATCGTTCCAAACTTTCCTCTTTTTTCACCATCCCAAAATATTTACGTCGTCTATTAATTCTGCCAGTCTTTGCGCTGATGTCTGTTCTTTTGCACTGTTGTCAATTTCAGAAAGGATTTCACGGGGATCAATCTTGCACCAAGGTTTGTGACGGAGAGAGGCAATGAATGTGAAAAGGAAATGAATGTCATAAAGGAGAGGGAAGACAGCTTAATTACTTTTGAACGAAGTGGCAAAATAATTCATCTCTACAGTGTTGTTACTATAGATAAACTTTCAAAAAGCCAAAAGTGGAAGAGCCCGCAGGCGTTATTTTCCGACGCGCAACTTATTACATAAACTCTTACGATTGATTAAAACAACTGTATAATGTATAATGGTCAGGTGATCTGTTCCAAGGACACCCTGAACCGGTTTCCGGTCAATCACATGCATACAGCATGTATGGGAATCGAAATGACATCAGCTGCATCAAAGTCAGCCATGTGCATTAATTGCTGCTCACGGAAAATATTTGGGTTTGACATCAAAAGATCTATATTACACATCTCTGTTTTTACTCCTGCTTATTTCCATCCTGATTTGAAGGATAATTTAGGAAACACCCCATTTGTCTTGATCCAAAAGTCCCCAAAGTGCAAAGACAAATTTAATAAACTTAATGAAACAAAGATTAGGAAAGTTTCGAAAAAGATCGCATCTTCTCGTGATTACCAAATATGCAGGCTCATATGTGGAGGAAATGTCATGATTCAGCCTTTTCTGCGATGGCTCACTAATCTTCGCTGAGAAACAAATCAATTAACAAGTCTATACAGAAACATTTTGTCATCCAATTTAAAGAAAGACGCAAAACTAAACACAGAGCAAAAGCAACCAAGAGCTCATTGGGAATTAGAAGTGGAAGGTTTTGGACTGGAGAAGTCAATCTCCAGACTGGGAGTGTGCATTTTACCTGCTGAAGAGGCGTATAAAAAAAAAACATTTGTTGATGGTGGTTAACATATCCAATTAAATCATCTTGTACCAAAAAAAAAATTCATATACTGTATTATACATTATTCACACAGCACCAGTGATTTTCCCAGAGTGGAAACTCATTATTGCATGTACCGTAGTGTCGGTTACAACTGACATTTTCAAGACAACGTGGGATTTACAACAAATAGCTTTTGATATTTTAATCTCGGACATGGAACAGTCATCGAACTAGTTAGTTGATCGTCAATAAGGCTGCTCTTTCCAAATTGGACCATAGCTGCAATTGGTGAGGCGAAACATCCCAGGGTGTGGCAATAGAGAGGGGAGGTGACGATCTATTTGCCACAATTTTGAAAGCCTTTGGACTGTTGGCTCTTGTAAAATCTTCAACAAGTCATCATACTCATTTGGTCAAGCAACAAAACCTACGAATCATTATTTTGTTGTAACTCATGACTGACCTTCATGCTCTTTCTCAGAAGAACCGGAGCTCCTCATCTTCTTGGGAGTTTTCATGAAAAGTGGAAAGATGGTTCGCAAACCGAGGATGTCCACAAACTTATGGCAGTTGTCTCCTCCCTCCGGTCCTATCATCCCATGATCCAGAACCTTGAGGGAGCTAGTTCGGGACATTTTCTTCTCCCTACACAGAGCACTATTGTCATCATATGTAGCAGCAGGTTGCTAACTTATAATTAAAAATGAGCATTTTTTTTGTTGTTGTTGTTTTTTTTTTTGGTATACATATGTGTTGAATGGAAAAGTAATTCTCAAAATGAATCAAAACACACACACGTAATTCTTATAATCATAATAGCAGCAGGACGGTTTGAGCGTTAACTGTTTCTCTTTTCAGTGCACGCCTTCTCATAGGAACTGTAGCCGTTTGTCTTCCTGCGTTGCAACAAATGACAGATGGCAGTATTTATCTTGGGAGTAGGGGGACATATTTCAGGCAGTTGAGTATGGTTCTCCTGACAGAAACATTAGGTATGATGGACGGTTGGAGAGGCCAGAGGTGCGGCAATATAAAGCGCATTTTCCCATGGGGAAGGAGCCTATTCACTCGCTTGACACTTGGCTTAAAACCTTCAGGTGTCAACAACAATATCGTTTTGACCCCACAAAGTGACTGTGAGTATCCAACACACAAATATAAGCAGCTGGGGTTGAAAGGTCAAATTAATCATCCCAGTCAAAACCCAACCACATAGCAACCTCTTATATTATTATCCATCTAAACGGTAGGGATTAAAGTATTACTGACCCTGATTTCAATAGACATGGCGGCCAGAACGGATGAAACTGGGTGACCAGTGGTAGGGAGTTATCACTTCACAAGTATCACACGTGGGATTTTGAAATCTTCCAAAAAGGCGTAAAAGATGTCACCATCACTAGTTTAGCTGAGATGAAAATTAGCATTGGCAAGTTTTTCACCTCCACAACAATGCAGACAGTCGGTCCTTTCTGTCGTTTTCCTTCTCTGTTATCCTTGTAGACCAGGGGTGTCAAACTCATTTTTGTCGCGGGCCACTTTGGGGTTACGTCTTCCCTCAGTGGGCCGTTACGACAGTGAAATTAAATAAATGTTGATATATTATTACTTGTACACAACAAATTGATGGATTACCAGTTTTGAAACCAGTCAAATCAACTATAATAGTTTGTTCAATTTTTGTTTGAGCGAGTGTTAGCAGGCTAACAAAATTACTGCAAAATCTCAACGTTATTTATTACACATGACAATTTGACATTACGGTCCAGATTTTAGCAAGGATCATGGAAATTGACACACATGATTTGCTTTCGCGGGCCACATAAAATGATGGGGCAGGCCAGGTCTGGCCCCTGGGCCTTGAGTTTGACACGTGTTGCAAACAGTTCTTGTGAAAAGTTTTGCATTTCAATAATGAGATCCCGATCCAGTCTTCAGACGTGCGTTCTCACTTGTATACTTCGAAGACTAGACGCACAGTGTGCAGACCTAATGTTTGTACTTATTTCCACATTTTCTTTCCAAGGGTCATGCGTTTACAAAAGCTCAACGTTCACTTGAGGCTGGCCATCAACAAAGTGGCGGCGGATGCAACTTTTCATGAGAAATTCAGATTGGTTTCCATGCTGGATTGAGTCAAACAATCACTCTCACCGAAGCATGAGATTCATGAGCTGAAGACCCTCCCCTTTGAGGAAACGGTCCCGATTGGCTGGCAGCATTAGGCAGGAACACAGTGCATCAAAGAGATTCTCCATCATCTCCTGCTCCTCAACTGTGGATGGGTTATGACGTTTAAACACCTAAAAGAAGATTTACAAGAAACACTTCATTGGTATTGGAATTTGTACAAGGTTGGGCCAATGTAAAAAACATCACTTGCAAATACAGCCGACTAAGTACGGTGCTGTGGAAACGCGGCATTAGAAATTTGTGCGACTGATAGGATACTGTCACATTCTTGTGATTAGGTTAAATTGATATCTGGGGGCAATACCGTCAAAGGAAAGATTGATATGTTCGTTTGCAAAAAATAATAAGGGTAATGGGGAAGTTTTCAGGTTATGAATGCACGGGGAAAAGCAATCATCTTGAAAAGAGTTTTACGGATAGTTGCTGCAGTAACACATCAATGCCATCCAGTTCTCCCAGGAGCTCTCTCGTGTCTGCGGAAGAGAGAATGAAAAACCGAGTGAGAGAAGGAAAGGATAATGTTCTACAGTTTTTTTAAATGACGGCTCTTAATTGCTACAGACAAGTCTTTCGGCTTCTTCCACCTTAAATCAATAAGTGGAAGAACCGAAGGAGGATTAGGACGGTCATGCTGAAATGTGACATGACTGAATAGTCTTGCACTATTCATGAGAAACTTTCATGGGCCTGACACCTCACACATGACAGGTTAGAGGAGGTAATAAAATGGAGAACACAGCAGTCAATGATAAAGAGAAAATTAATGAAGATCTTCAATGAGCTTGGGAGATTCAAAGAAGAATAGTGAAGCAAATAGAATCAAGAGGCCATGGGACACAGTGATAAAAAGTGAAAACTTGAGGGAGGAATTTTGAAAAGGGCGACAACAGCGAGACTTTGTCGGGACAGGTCATGACAAAGAGATGTGGAGCTGTGGAAGACCATTTGTAAAGACACGTATGAGTCACTCTGACACACTTACTGTCATTGTTTTGCAACAAGATGGCCAGAATTTCACTGCAGTAAAGCTTGTTACCGTCAAAAGGCATCTTTGCCTAACAGGAAACGGTGAGAAAACTTCAATAAGCTCACACCGTTATTCATTATATTGTGTATTATTTAATCATCAAATAATACAAATAAACACGTCATCAGTTAAGCAACATTAATCAATAACAACAAAATGATGTTGGAATACATTTTTAATGCAAAATAATTTTGCCCGATCTGATGGAATAATCAGTGAAATAATCAATTCTCAAAATATTCAACAGCGAGAGTCCTACTTCTTACCTTAATTCTCTTGAGCAGCCATTGCATGAGTCCCTGCTGAGCTGCTTCTGTGCACAGGCCTGGTCTAAATTCGGCCATATTTTCGATAATGCCTGAGGGACAAAAACACCATGGGGAAACATCAAAATCCATCTTTCAAAGCTGCTATTGTCACAAGTCTCCGAATGATTCAACAACAGGTAATGTGAAATAACTGCAAGGGCTGGATACATTTTGGTGCAAATCCTGATTCTCTAAAGCAGGGGTCGGGAACTTATGGCTCGCGAGCCAGGTGTGGCTCTTTTGACGATTGCATCTGGCTCGCAGATAAAACTAAATATTCTCGCTTGTATAATCCATCCATCGATTTTTCACCGCTCGTGTCCTGTTCAGGGCTTCGGTGGTGGCAGGATTAATTTTAATTGGATGATACTGGCCTACGTTGGCCGTTGCTGGGTAACAGGTAAACACCCCCTTTTGAATCAGCCCGCTCGGTCTTTAGCTCAAAGCTAATCCTTCCACGAATAAGTTGGCGAAAAGAAAAAAAGTTGACGAGTATGGTACACTTCAGGACAAATGGACCGAAGGATTCGCCTTTGTGGAGAGAACAGGTTCTGCAGTGTGTCTAATTTGCAATGACAAAATACCATCGATGAAACAGTCGAATGCAGAGCGGCACTTAGACATGCTACAATCGCATCAAAATACCCTGCGGGAGACACCGGACAGGAAGTGTGCAAGCTACTGAGCAGAGTGCAAGCTAGCCAGCATAAACGCCGCGTATGGACCCGGCAAGCTGACTATAATTCCGAGCTTTGCTGGATTGTGAGCGATCGTGAGACACGGAAAACCATTCACATTGATGGTGAGTATTATAACTAAATTATTTTTTTTAAATACATTCAGAGGCTTATTATACTGACATTTTGTTGAATTCACTTTCAAAATAAAGTTTAGATTTAAATAGCTCTCACTGAAATACATTTCCAAATATTTTGCTTTCATGGCTCTCTTAGTAAAAAAAAGGTTCCCGACCCCTGCTGTAAAGCATAGCCGAGCCTCAGCCAAGACTTCTTGCTTACTGCTACCTCGCAAAAATGTCACAGATGAGCTGCACGCAGTGTGATATGCAGCTATTTTTACAGGCTGTCTTGCGGTATCACACTCACAAGGTGAAGGAAGACAAGCTGTGTCAAAGAAACATCCCTTCTATATAGTACATATCTCAGATCTGTCGCAGACTGCCAAAAATGATCGTCTCTCCTCTGGAGCAGTCAGTGGCAACAAGCTGTTTGTCTGGCAGGTTTAGGCTGATGTATGTACTAATGTACATGCCTTAAATTCAATGGTGGCCTTGAACGGAAGACCACAGACACAGATTTTCAGGGGTATTCATGAAGGGATACAACAGTTTGTGCTCATATGGAAAGGTGTGTCTGGTTTTTGGTCCCGGTTCACTCTTAGACTATGATTAGAAAGAAGCTGCTGCCACCTGATATCTTCATCAGAGTGTACCGCTGCAGAAAGGGACAGACAGAGAGTGATAATGTGGAATTGCGATGAGGGAAGGGAATACAAATGAATTAAACTAGGAGAGGAAGGCAGGCGAATTGAGGTAGAGGTAGAGCAGAAGGGAAGATGAAGGGTGGAAAGCTATGGGAGCGTGGAGAACAAGTGGACCGTAAATATGGTGAATGAAGAAATACGAGCAAAATAAACAAACAATAGAGAAAATTAGGGATACTTGAAAAGAGAGGAGACAAAGGGAAAATACGAACAAGGAAACAACCGAGGAAAAGGGGCTGCTGGTGACTGAGCCAGGGAAAGCAAGTAGAGGCAGAGGCCTTTATCAGGGATTCAAAGGGAGTCGACAAACAGCCTCCTGGAGGACAGCAGGCTCACAGCAGACAACAGACAAAAGGCTTATTGAAGCTGGGAAAGCTCCCTCCACAACACACGCGTGCAAACAGAGGCACACACTTGCATAGACTATACACCAGCGCTGCTCCCCTGACACGCATCTGGAGCCAAACACACACACTGCGCGCACGCGCACACGCACGCCTCAACTGCTCTCCCATGACTCGGCCTCAATCTGGCGGCAAAGAAAGGCATCATGGCAGCGGAGTCTATCAAAGCAAAAAGAGCTGAGAGGCAGAAAAGTTTTGAGTCATGTCAGGCTAAATGCAGACAAGGACTTAGTAGGTGATGGCCCACACCCCCTCACCTTTAGGTCACGTAGTCTCGTGGGTGTCGTCTATAACCCATACAGTTAAATATATTTTTGCATTGCGGGGTGGAGTTATACATACGTGTGTGCGTGCACGTATGGATATATGTAAAATTATTGGGTAGGACAAACACAGTGGAACCTCTAACGTTGCATGCCACCCAATTCAGAATTCAATCAGGATTTATCCAGACCACAGTTACAGAGGCCTAAAGAGAACATTTGTCAAACCTTATTCAGACTAGCCATCAAAATCCATGTATACCATTTTAAATTATCGATTCTGTGTTAAAACCCCCTCAGCCTATTTACACAGACTCTTTGGCTGAGGTAAAACCTCTCCTTTCTCAAAATCATTTACTAATCCATGCCCTTTGTTACATCTCGGTTGTATGACTATAATGCACTTTAATTTGTTGCTAGCCTGTTCTCCTTCATGGGCTTCCAGTTGGCTGAAAATCCTGCTGCTCACCTGCTAACTGATGCTCAAAAGAGGGAGCTCATAACGTCAATTCTAGCCTCCCTGTACTGCCTCCCCTCACAATTTAAAGTTTATCTTATTTGCTGCCATGGAGGTGATGATTAATGGTGTGTGCTGTGTTAGCACCAGACGCAAAGTGAACTCGCGGCTCTGCAACATGATTAGCCATGCCAGCTAGCCAGCCGTAGCTCACATGGAGCTTGGGCAGCACAAAATTGCAACCACCGAGCCTTCCCCAAAAACAAAGAGTGGAAAGCAGGGAGGTTGGGTAAATGTGGACAAACGTTTTTGTTTTGTTTTTTTGATTTTCAGAACGATGTCGTGTTAATTTCATCACATTCATTCATGAAATGCGCACTGTCCAGTGTCGTGGTGGCCCGACAAAGCGCCATACTGTTGCTTATGTTGGAAGCTGGATTAAAGCCAAACTGAATTGGAATTCAGTGAATTCCTAAACAAAATACGGACAATCCTGAACATTTGGCAGCTCTGTGATTGTAGCATGTGAGGAGAAAGCCTTCCATTTTTGAAAAGTAATGACTGAAAGGCAGTTTCTTCGAAGGAAAACTTTTAAGTCCTTACCCAGTGTGTTGAAGACACCATCAGCTTCCTCTTTAACCTGCTCATCCAGTCGCTCCATATTCTGCACCAGTAACGCGACCACCTGGCCCTCCAGCTACGCAGAAAGTTTGGTTTCGGTCAAAATTTGAATATTTCAGTCTGACAGCAACATTTGTTAACATTTTCACTTCCCTCAGATGTTAAGGGTTGTTGAAAACAGTTTTACTGTGAATGTATTGTTTTGTAATTAAAAAAAAAAAGATGAGATACAGTATTTAGAACATGAACATGACGTTAAACAATCAAACAACATGTGACTTCAATGAAAAATTGCAGCGATGTATCGAACTAGCCAAATCAAAAGGTTTGCTCTACATTTGCATGTGCAAATTAGACAGACGATAATTAAGGTCAGAACTTTTGGGAATGTGCAAGTGTCATCAGTCGAGACTGGAGACTGATTATCAAACAAAGCTCAAAGGGTGCCGTCTGGCTGGATAAAAGTACTATTACACACAAAGGAGACAGACCGTCCACGCTGATTTATGAGCCACCAGGGACGGTCAGGGATCTTTTTGATTCATCTTATCAAGGGTGCCACCTGGCCTTCTAGCAACAAGGACAGAGGACTTGGAGGCATTACAGCAAGTGAAGAGACAAATGGGTCCTAACCAAACCTTGCCGTCCTGAAACAGTCTCGCCTGAAGGATGTTGTAAAAGAGGACCTGGGTTTATATCGCTCCATTGCCCGGTAAATGGACTGCATTTTTATGTCGTAGTTATTCCCTTTGGAGTGTTGAAAACCAACCCCCGCATTATTGTCTTAAACAATATCACATCAAGCCAAGAAGCCAATTCATAACAACAAACAACAGTTTGGAAGGCCTGTCATCGGTGCTATTTTGGGATGATGTAGATTTGTCAGGCTCATCAGATCAGGGAAACTGACAGAGAACAGAAGACCCGTTAGCAGTATCTCCAACACTGTGGTCATGATTCTCAGTCAGAAAAGGGGAGATTGTGAAGCTCTACATCCCGCAGATGAGTTTAACTACCGTATCCGTGTTTTATTTACAAACAGTTAAAAGGACATACGTAATTTCCCGTATTTTCCACACTAAAAGGCGCACTGGATAATGAGGCGCACCTTCAATGAATGGCCTATTTTGTAATTTTTTTTCATGCAATGGGCGCACCACATTATAAGACGCAATATACAATGCACCCACTAGATGGAGTTACACTCAAGAAAACGCCAACAGAACGATCAGATGTCAGTAAAACTTTTTTAATAAAGCAGCGACAAGTTCACTTAACCAAACGCAAGTTATAACACTGACTCGTTAACGTTGAACTCTCTTGCCGCTGCTCTATTTCCATGTTCAACTGCGTAACCGATCGCCTTGAGTTTGAACTCTGCGTTGTCAGCATGTCTCGAGCAAGGAGCCAGTTTGGGGTTGAAATATTACCGTAATGACCATATACAAGGCGCATCGGATTTTAAGGTGCGCTGTGAGTTTTTTAAAAAAATGGAAGGCTTTTAGGTGCACCTTTTAGTGCGGAAAATACGGTACGCAAAAGATATATTGGTGCAGCACTTTCAGAGATTCAGTTGTAGTACTGGTCTACTGTTCAGACTAGAGCCATAAGGCCGTTCTACGCTTCTACACTTTGGTCACAAGCGCTGGGGGCAGCGGAAAATACAATTAAGTGGCAAAGTTTCAGTATACAACAGATATTGGCAGATAAATTTTACAACAAAAATACATGCAGCAAGTGCTGTGTTCTGACAGCATTCCTCTCCCTGTTGTAATCCATTGTATTTTATTTTAATATGAGGTTTTCATTTTCTTCCTATTCCACGATTATATTTGATTAGATGATGAGTCTCTGTGTCATCCAAATGCTACTATCTACAACCAATCTGAACTGGACCAAAACGTTCAGCCATTCACTAAAACTTACTTCTTGGTGGTGGGGGGACAGAAATACAGATGGCAGAAATTACTTCCCTACATAGAGTGCTGGATCCATCCTTAGAAATTGCGAAAAGAACTACATGCTGCTTAAGTAGCACGCAGTACGTCACAGGTTGACAACTCCATGGTGAGGTCAATGACCAACAGACCAAAATAATATCTGTGCACAGTTTTGTATGCCAGAAGAACAGACTCGGAGTAAAGTGTTGCTTAAGGTGTAGAACTCAACTCACCAGAGAATCTATAAGGACCTCGGCACCTTCCTCGCTTTCGTTGAGTGTGACAATGTCCGTCAGCTCTTGGAGTAGGTCCACCACTGCTATGGCAACATGTAGATAAGGCTAAGGACAATAGGGTTACAATGTATAGGTTTGTGCTGAGTTTTTCTTCTCATGATACATTGATTCTGTGAGTACTGTCCGAGAGCATCGCACATCTGTATCCTAGTTCTGGGGTTGAGTCTGAGTTTGGGTTTCTTGTATGCCGTTGGTTTCTTCTCATGCTCACAAGATTTGCCCCCCACATTCAAAAATCATTTTTTGCTCACCTATTTTCTAGATTTGAGCCGTGATTAGTCATTACCTGAGCCCTTAGGTACTTGTGATATACTTTTCGGTCGACAGCAAGTGGCACAATGGCCACCCCCTGAGATGGATAAAAATTGGGAGTATTTTGAGGCTTAATTCATATTCCACAAATGTAATATGAATCAGAATGCTGTGTTTAGACTCGTGGGGGCACATATAACATATTATTGGGAAGAAAGTATTCGGCTTGACTTCGCCTTTAACATTAGACAAATCTCACAGCACACAGCCAAACAAAATTCTCACAAAAAAGAAAACAATACTGAAACAATTGTCTCAATTTATTCCCAAATGGTTGTTACTCAGTGGGAAACGTGGGCCTGCTTCGTTGAACACAAAGCCAAGTATACTCACAGAAAGCTATGTTGAATAATTTCTCTTGGGATTTGCTGGCTATGACCAATAAGTAACAAACTAATTGCATAGTTTGACACTTCCGGGTTGAGTGAACGCTGGCGCGTCTGGCTGCCGCTGCTCAACCGCTATTATTCTTTTTTAGCGTTTGTTTTACGGTTTTTTTTACGGTTTACTCTCGTCATGGGAGAAACCCTCCTCTCCTCTCGCAATTTGTTGTGGTTTTGGACCGTCGGTCGTCGCACGGTTGTCCTCGGTCGCGCTGTCGCGGCATCCTGCCTGTTCGGCTGTCGGACGGTGCTCCGTGCCTTCTCCGCCCCTCTGCGCCCCGTGGTGGGGGTCGACGGGGCCTGTGTCTGGGCTACGCTGCTGTGGACCGTCCTGTCGCTCCTCCGTCTGCCCGTGGGGGGACTGCTGCGGTGCTCAG